GTCGTGATGCCTACCTTGAAACCTAACAAACCGCACATCTAAAAGAAAAACTCAGAGCAAAACGTAGGATGCAAGTAAAATCAAGTAGCCCCTAGAAACACAATCACACCATTTACTATGGTTTCTTTCGCCCGAGCCTGGCCCTGTGGCTCTCGGCGTGGTGCAGGAGCGAAGCGACGCGCATCGGGGCTTCTGTTTCAACTCGCCCCTTGCAGTAGATGGGAACCTTATAAGGTTGGGGCTTCTTGAAAGCAGCCGATTTCGGGAGGCAAAAGGCTTGCAGTTCCGAGTCGGCCCAGGGTTCCTTTGGGGGGTCACAGGGCTGCTTCGGATGTAGGGCCACCTTGATCATCCTCGGAGGTTACGGTTTGCCCGAGCTGGTTTTGAGCGCTCGAAAAGAGCAACCTCGTAGAAGCTACCTTCACACTCCAGGTCAGCCGTTTTAGCTACGTGCAATCATGCTGATACTTTGACCTCTCTTCTTCTCAGGGCCTTTGACTGATCCTCCCTCTGCCCCTTTCGAGGCGTGTGAGCGACTCAATCTCGGTCGACAGGCGAGAGCTTTTATTATATTCTATACTACATGCTATACAAGATCTTGTATTATATTGTATACACACACACATATATATATATAGATCGAATATGATATGTTACGTTATACATTGTATACTGTATGTTTTGGGTCTTACATAAGGTTCATTTGCTTATATGGTATATACTATGTATATATAATACATATACATATACCTATATACATATATATATATACATACCTATATATATAATATGTAAATGCATATCGTATCATATCATATATGCGATCTTTAATGTACGATATTTAGTGTCAAGTTTCTGGAGGTGCGAGGTTGTCCAGACGAGTATTTCAGGTTCATGTATGGCAAGTCTGCAACTGTTCGCTCGAATCCCCAGATTCATGTTTATCGAACTCTTGGTTTCAGAAGAAGCCCCGTGAAGCCACAATGAGCCCCAAGCGCCGAAAGCGCGTCTTCCGACATTGAGTGATTTCAAGACAGCCCTTCTACAGGTCTCAAGATGATGTGCGGAGCCCACCGGGATGAAATTCAACATTTTGGGAGATGCCAGGATACCTTCGGAGTCGTGGCAGCGGTTTTTCATCTTGGGATCTGGCTGTTCCAAACACGGCCGTCGGAGAACAGGCTTAGGCATGGTGATGAATGGTGAAGATTGTATCAAGCTGGCATCTCATTCCGCCTGGAAGTGCGCCAGCGAGCAAGACATGCGCCGGCATCATTCCACACACTCGGTTTGTTCTGCAACAGGTCCTTCTTGACATGCCGATGAGAGCCTCTCACCTGGTGCTTAAACCATAAAACCACGTCTCCTTTGCGCTGAGATCCGCTCCGGCGCGTGCCGGAAGTTGGCCGCAGGCGCAAGCGGGAGCAGCGAAAGGGTGGCTTCTTCAGGGTCCCTTAGCTCTGAAACACGACGCGAGCTTAGAGGTTGGGGCTTGTCTCGTTCGACCCTCATGTGCACAGAAAGACCACGGTTTATGATTGAAGCATGAACTCGTTTGATCTGGGTCTGTGACGCAAAGACCAAGCCTATCCATATGTAATCAAGCCAGCGAGCTTCCTTCCGGATAGCGCGGGTTCTCCAAAGAACAGATGCACACATGTCATCGCAGGGTATCCGACGAGTCTACCACAAGCTACTGCGCTGACCGGCCTGTTCTGTGGGGATGAAACCGAGACCTTCAGCCGGTGTGGGGAGGTTTAGGGCGAGTGCTCTCCCGCTGGAGCGAGCAGAGCCGCCCTGCATTTCACTACATGTTCGTTTCTTCGCGGTCTCGAGCCGCGGAGGCCAATAAACAGTGGCGACAAAATCTTTCTTGAAAGAACCAAAAAGAGGACACAGCCGAAACCGGAAGCCGCCAGATTGTCATTGTCTTCCACAACGAGGCCTTTTCCGCACTGGTGAGGCCGTGCCCTTGCGACGGTCGAGCCAGGCGTTTCATGTAATATATGCTGAGAGTCAAGTTGGTGAAGCTACCTTAAAGCGTAAAAGTTTCTGTCTGAGACCTTCAGAACTGCCAAGCCAACTTGCTGGACACCTCGCAGGTCTGTCCACTCGGTTCTCAACACCTCTCCGCCCCATCTCGTCAAGGAGGCATGCACCAGATCAGATCACGGCAGTGCCCCTGCACCAGTAACACAACATGATGCATTAGCTTCAGTGCACCCGGCGAGTGCACACACCAGACTCACCGAATTGGGGGTGAGTGAGATGTGGATGTAAAAAACTGTCGGTAAGCCCGCACATGCATAGACAAGCTCTCCAACAACGCTGCGTTGACAGGTCATTCTCGTGGATGATGCGAGTCATCCAGATGACTTGCGCTTCTACCGGAAGCATTGGCCGAGCCTGCAATGGGTTGTCAATCATCCGATGGAAGTTTGGCAGAGTTCGAGGCAGTTGGAAGGATGTTTCAGTGGGGCTTACTGTAGCTGCACATGGCACACACATGTAGCATGTTGGCTTTAGAATGTTTAAGATCTTTGAGCTTAGCAGGTGTCGGCTTCACTAAGCTTCATCTCCACGTAGACTTGCTTACAGCTCGTGCAAATCGTGATCTGCTCATTTTTTGGCTTCAGGCTGTAGCCGGGCCATGATTGGGCACCACACCTTCAATCCCGTGGGGAAAAACCATTTGACGTAGCCTGTAGTTGCGGGGCGCAGTTGGCGCTGCCTCACGCACTGACGGTCTCAAGGAGCGTTCCCCTCAAACCTTGTGCGAGTGAGTCGAGACCTATGCAGGAAGTCTGAAATTGTCGCGCTCAATTTCTTCCATGCCATGGCTATGACTTTGGGCCTGGTCCTGGTGCTGGGATCGCTTTGCCGAGCGTGGCTTCGCTTTGAGAATGCAGGAATAAGGTGGTTCTGACCCCCCTAACCCCCTGTGCCTCGACGAACCGCATCAAACCACTCATGAAGCGGGCGTGTGGTTCTTCTCGATTTTTCTGACCGCTGCGTTCTGAACCTATGCCAGATCGTACTGTGGTGCAATGCTTCCTCGAGCATCGCAAGATTTGACATCACAAGTCTCACGAGTGCAGGCCAAGAAGATGTCTCTGCTCTCATTCTTGCGATTCAGTGAACAAAGCCTCCAAGTAAGATGTGAAATTGAGAAGCGTCCCGACTGTTCGTCCGAGGCTATCATCCTCCTGGCCACTGGGCTTTTCCTGTCGGCTTGGGGGAGAGTCCTTGTCACCGTCTGTGACCGGTCCAGCTGTCAGGCGGTGCAACCCCTAACTGCAAGGTTACAGCTTGATGATAGCTTTAAGTCTTTACTGCAAGAAATACTTTTTTTTCCAGCTCCAATGGATGAGTCTTCCTTTTCCCTCCCAGGTACTTGGTTGATGCCACTTGGCAGCAATTTCCTGGTGCTGCGGGCATGTAGGAGAGGGAGGGGGTCTACACCAGGGGTTAAGGACAAGGAGAGTGCCCCTGGATCCTGTTGTGTTCCTGATCTTCTTCGATGTGCGTTATCCAAACAGGAGATCAGGACAGGTCTGCCTTACTGCAGATCTCAGGGTGTTTGGAGCGAGTTTTTGTTTCGGATGTTTGAGGTGCGCGGCATGTCAGGGGCACACATCGCAGCCCTAAACAACGAAACATCCGAGGTTCCACTCGCGGTTTGCGAAGAGCCATACACTGCCAGCACGCTGATTCCGCTCAACATCGCCCTTCCGGGACGAAGTGCCCGACAGGGACTCTGATGGGGGCTTGACAAGTAAAGGGCACAGTGTCCACGATTCCTCACAAGTAAGGAACCCAATTTAAAAAAAAAAAGTTTATCTTCGGATCCCCCATACTGTCTGAAACCTTAACATACGAAGGGTCAGGATGATCGGCTCTGTTCGATTTTAGTGTTGCTGCACATGTTCGGATCTGTCTACATACCGTCTGTGACTGCTGTCAGGCGACCAGCCGCATATCCTCACTGTCTACCGGACGGGCAACAAGCAACTAAGCTTCACGAATCTCGGCAATGACTCCGGCCCATTCTTCCAGCATGGTTTATGAAGTGTTGCCGCCGTTCATCTCTTTTCTAGGTCATGTGCACGGTTGCCATGACATGCTTGATTTGTGTTCATGTCTGTGCACTTTACTGGCATCTGCCAAGTGCCCAATGTGGAGAAAATGGGTGCGGGTGGCGTCTTGCGCTGAGATGTGTCCTGGCCATGTGCCTGAGGGTGTCCGTGCTGGACTCCAAGAGCAAGGATGTCACATCTGCCGAGGCGGATCGCTATCGGTGATGCTCAGCCGAGCTGATTTAATTAATACCGTAGGCGGAATACCAAAGTTAACTTCAGACTGCTTATCTTTGGTTTGGTCGTGTGCTGCAGGTTCGCGCTTGTCTTGGTTGGGTTGCGTCGCAGTGTCAGCACCTCTCCTGTCCTTCATGGTCTGCCTGGAGGTGAAACTCGACGGGCAGTCGATCCCGTCGTTTGAGGTGCCACTTGCCTTCGTTTGAGGTCCTGGAGTCCTGCCTCCTGCCGTCTTTTAAGGGTTTCTAGCTGCTCGGAAGAGTCAGGACTTCGAGCAACATCTTAGAATCTTTGTCTTTGAGCAACGGCGGTTAGACCCGTCTCGGTCAAGCCTGACGTGGGCCAAAACCAGATCAAAATCAACCGACCGGTTTCAAGACTTCGGGCTTTCTCAGAAACTTGTCTTGCCGGCAGCAGAGACGCGAAGGGCTTGGGAGCGCAGGACGTCTCAAAAGCAATTCGGTAGTGGCTGAGGACCGCGACGGCCACCACCACCACGTTTACCACAACGACAGCAACGCTCCCCGTGCCACGATCGCAGAAGAGCATGGCTAAGGATCTGCTGCCTTTTTCAGTCCTTCCTCTGATAAAGGTCGTGTTGCTCGTAACATCTCGTGACATGTCGCACTCAGGGCTAATCAAGCAGACTTCGAGGCTGTCGTATGGTTTGCAACTAAGATCCTCAACATGACCATCGAGGCTACGCTGAAGACGGAGACTCTGATTACTCCTGGTGGGAGCTATCAAGTTTGTGTAACTTGCGATGCCAGTCATTCAAGACTGCTATCATGGGCACCCACTTTCGCCATCTCACCAACATCACCATCAACAGGATGCGCCTTCTTGGCCATAACGTTTAACATCAGCACCATCATCGCCAGCAACAAGGCCGTTAACGCTCTCCCCCTCAGCATCGCCACCACCACACATGTCCATCTCCTCCATCCTCAGCACCCATCCGCGACCCACATCATCGCACGCAGCATCGAAAGGTGCTTGCAGAGAGAATGGGAACAACAACAGCAATAGCGTTGAGAATAAGAATTCCTGAGTTTAGCCAACTGTCCAAACTTCAGGGATGGAGTTCAGGGTTGGGGCTTCGCGATCGTGAGTTTGGGCGGCTCTGTTTGTTTCGGGTGACGAGGCAACGGGCTATGCAATCACGACCCTTGAAAAACCGCTTCCACATCCCTAGACAATTCCTAGCAATCTTCAACCAGTCCCAGATCGCACACACACACACAGATCGCAGCCAGTACTCGTAGCCGCAGTCAACACGGAAGCCAGAGTTTGATCAAGAGTGAGCCCAGGAGGATGAAGAATTCGTCCGACTCCTTCGTCGAAAGTGCCGGCTTCAGTTTATTGGAGCTCTCTGCACCTTGAGGGCTCCATGACACGCTTGGCTCAGCTAACACGCAGGAGGCACTAGCAGTAGCGGTTCGGTGGCTCGAAGACTCGATGCTGCGTGGGCTTCAGGGTCACCATCCTCGACCCTACGGAATTCGCAAGCAACAACCAAAACTTGGGCAAGAAGGGGTAAGAGGCTTCCTAGACTTTCAGTCAGACCTGCCAACAAGCCTAATCCTTCCCACCAAAAGCTTCGGGGCACACGCCTGAGGCCTGGAAGGGCATTGTCCGGCAAAGGCATCGGGAGGGGCTTTTCGGGAACTGTTGCAGCAAGGCCAGTCATGATGTCCTTCCTTCTGATGGTGCGGTGTGAGCTTTAGGAGTCAGTTGCAGCTCGATGCTCCAGGACCGGATTACTGCGGGAGTATTGCGCCTTCGGAGGTCATGGTTAAATTGCAGAATGTTCTCATCGCCCTGACGGCGCTTTTTTGTTTGTTGTTTGCCAGAGACCCAAAGCCACATGGAGCCAGATATAACAGCGAATCACAGCAAGAAGATTTGTCAGGCGGCGGGCGATCCTATGGTGGAGGGTACTCAGGCCCTGGATCTAGACATGTTGGCACTTCCTGTTGCGAACATTTCCTTCAGAGCCTCCTGGAAAATCTCAACTGAGTTCAACTGAAGGCCGAGCCTAGCACGTGCAGGGGGGGGGCCTCTGCAGGAGCAATTCCGATCACCACACGTACGCTGAAAATTGCTTGCACGCCGTCATGACATCCGAGCTGTTGCGCCCAAATTTGAAGACAGCCAGGCGGTCGGCGTGGCTACAGTGGGTACTCCTCCTACACAGGTGAGGCATGTTTGGGCTCAGGTACTTGGGATGTCTCAACAGTGCCCGATTCTAGCTGGCTTCGATCTCCAATGCGAGTCGCTGCGGACGAAGAGTCACGAGTTAGCCCCACACACGCATGCAAGAAAGAGTTCAACCAGCACCATACCAGTGTGGCCTCGAATCAAACCTTCTTGAGGTTAGTTTATGGGCTTGAAGCAGTCGGCGTGATGATTGAGATTTTTCTCAGATGTTGGGCATCTTTGAGACTGGAAGGGACTCGGAGTGACATGTTCAGGATTTCTGTCTACAATGTCCACGGCTCCATGCCATCAGACCGGGAATCTTTGGCGGGTTGGCATCGGCACCGGTCTTGCAGGATCGCATGGCAGTAAATAAGTGGGGCTGTTGCTGGTTCATCTTCTCGAGGGACATGGAACTCAATCGGAGAAGTTATTCGCTTCCTCGTGGAAGCTTGTTAATGTTCGGCCCCGTGTTTGGAAGCCTTGTGTTTCCAACGAAAGCTTTTAGGGCGAAGCAATGAATTCCGCCTTAAATTGCACCCAATCCTGCCTGAAACAGACACTCGCCGGCGAACTACATATGACGACCGCCGGCGAACTACATACGACGACCGCCGGCGAACTACACACGACGACCGCCGTCGAGCTGCTATTTCTGATAGTGCCCAGTCACAAAATGGTCTGCATGCGCAAGTTTACACGCTTCATCGGGTGTCAGCTGGTGCGAAAACATCTGCAGACTTATACACCTTGTTTTGGTCGATGAGGCGGCGTCACGATTTCTCGTCTGTCTTATGTTGCAGCAAGTAAGTTGGTCCTTCCAAGGCCGAAGAAGAGCACCGTGCCTTGGCACTTTCGTTTTATGCTCAGTGGAAGTTCGGGTTCAGTTGTGGGGTGGTGGAGAATTTCTCGAAATGATTTTTGCCCCTGCCTTTGGCACGGCATGTCGTGGTCGTGGCTACTGTGCCCTTTTGATGTCTGCTTCACTGAGGACGAGCCAGGTCCGGTTCTGAGTTGTTCAGGGTGGACGTCTTTCAGCAAGTAATGTTTCACGCGTCATGTGCATCAGCAGGGCATTGAAGGAGACTTGACAGAAGAGGGCGAAAGTCCGGAATCGAAAGTCGGGGGAAAAATCGACACCTCTGTGCACAAAGGGCTGGGTCAATCCGTCTCATCCGCGATCTGGCCCCTTGGCAGCGCAGCCAGAAGAAAGAGGAGGATGCCGGCAGAGGCAGAGCGCATTCGCACCGTGAGAGGCCTGCAAGTCGCAAAAGAATATCAGCGGAGTTCTTGCAAGCTCGCCTCAAGTTCCTAAGGCTACTACAACTACCAGCCTTCCTACAGATCTTACCGCACCTCCTACGGTTACAGCACCTCGTCCGCAGTGAAACGATGGCCCGCGAGGCCTGCCCAGGTCAGCGGTCCCCAAAAAAACGAGCGGCCTTTCCTTGCCGAATCCTTTTGGGTGCAGAAGGCTTTCCTTGGACTGCATCCTTTGTCCTCTCTGTCGCGCAGGGGGGCCCAAGGACCTTTGAGGCAACGCTTGGGTCTCAAGTCGATCATGTGCACGTCTTGCGAGGCCAGATCGCTTTAAGATGCAGGGGTTTCAAGCACGGCGCTACCAAGCGGAACCTGGATTGGAGCCCCACAAGCCAGCACAACCATCACTATGATCATGAGATTGATAGCATTTGATGGCCATTGCTTCGTGACCTAGGTTGGTAGTTAAGGGTATCCTCAGCGTCAACTACTTGTTGCACATGCCAAACTCCCCACCCAAGGTGGACATCATGTGTATCCCTCCGGCAGCAGCCTGGGGAGCCCTTCTTTGCATTGCGAGATTTGTGTTTTCCACTCCGACTTCGTCTTAGGGCCTTAGGGGGTTCCACGGGAACTCGCGGCCTACCTGCAAGGATTCCCCTCGCCGGACTTGGTGGACTCGGTGTCGGCTATGCCTTGGGAAGCCACTTTGGTCACTACAGGCCAGGCTGAAACCTACACTGAGATGAGGTTTAGGATGTGGCTTAGATGTAGTCTAGAGTTGAGGCTTGGGACTGGTAGTGTCTAGAATTAGCTGGAGACAAGTGACTATGAAGCACGGGTGGCTGCTTGGATTTGCACCTCATATGCCGGAAGCTCCAGTCGGATCGGAATACGGAATACATGATGTGGCGTGGTGTGGAGGAGACTCTCGCGTAACCGCCTTGTATGTCTATAGGCCGTCTTATAAGTAGCGTGGTCAATCAGTCGTTGTTGGGTCTTAACCGCCAAAATGCACTGGCTCGCTGAGTGCATCCTCGTGGTTTTTGCCCAGCAGCTTGCTTTCGTCCGGTAACACAGGTGGAAGTGTGCCAGTGTGATTAGTCTGCCACCTTCCTTGCTGCAAGGGCGAGCAGATGGAACACAATCAATGGAGGCCCTCGGGAGTGGTGCATCGGGTCTCTAGGTTTTGGAGTTTTGGAGGTTGCCTTACAAAGTCTGGTTACTCAGACATCGCTCTCTTCCAGCTCTTCTTGGAATCCGCGTTTGCGGGCTACGGTGCTAGCTTTGGAAAGCCTACCAGGCCGGCGGAAGAAAGAGATTAGAAATATCAGCTTGGGGGCTACATGAACCTACGCCGCTACACGCAGCTTGAACCAATCAGCACCCGCGGCAAGTGAGGCCGTGGCTTCGAGGATTGCCTCTTGGCTGATCACGGACAGGTGAGGTACCGACCTGAACAAAAACGAACCGAGGAACATGTCAGAGACGAAGTTTTGCTGAGCCCCGAGGCCACTACCAGTCCTGGAAGGGGTCTTGCAGCGACTGCGTCCGGAAATATTCAATGGACAAGTGCCAGACGTGGCTTGGCCGAGCCTTTGGCAGTCGTTGCGGGGCCATTGGCATCCCGCACCGTGCTTGTAGTTGGAACCGTCCAAGCACAGAAGAGCCATCGGCAGACCTTATCGTTGTTTTCTGAACAGTCACAGTCATGCTGAGAATTCAGTCTCGTCTTGTTTATATTGTCGGGGCCTACTATCTTGCTCTGTTTAAGCTGTGCCAGGTGGGGGTCGAGGGCGATTAGCCTGGAGGATCTCGGGTAGTGTCGTCGTCGTAGCAGTGGCAGCAGTGCTAGCAGCAGTCGTAGCAGTTGTAAATAGTAGTAATAGTAGTAGTAGTA